CATCCCATCCCATCCCATCCCATCCCATCCCATCCCATCCCATATCTGCAACTCTCTTGTATACAAAAGCCCCCAAGAAACAACTCCAGAGGTCCAAAAAGCCCCCAAACAGAAGCTGCAAAAAGACAAGCCTCTTCCATAGAACAAATAGCAGCTTGCCCCCTCCACTTGTTAGAAAGAAATCGCCCCATAAAATGAAGGGCAAGTGCCCCAATGGGCCCAAAGGCCATAGGGATTATTCCCCAACATAGGGGAACAGCATCCCTCAAAAGAAAATTGAGGGGTCAACAGAAGCCAAAGTTCTGGCCAAAAAAACCTGAGAGCCTGGAGAACTGATAAAATATGTCTGCTCTCCTTCAGGTTCCATGACAGGGTTAGGGTTAGGGTTAGGACAACACAATTTTTTTTAGGGCAACACAATTTTTTATTAAATAAATTAAAACCTTACTACAGTGTCAACTGGCCACCCCTAAAATGGGAAGTTGCGCTCATGACAAACACAAAGACAAAAACGAAAAAGAAAGAACCCAATACAACTGCCACCCAAAAATGAGCCCCCAGTGTTCATAGCAGCAGGACAAAACCATTCCATAGCAAAATAGTCCATGCTGCAGCAGCCAATGCAGAATTCTGTCCTCCTGACGGAACATCAAAATCATGTGATCAGGGGATCAGCCAAGGTGGCCTTCCATGGCCAAAACTGCTCATTTGCGCTGAGTCCAGTGCGCTTGCTCTGCCCCGCATAGAGTCTCTAGTCTGGCAAGGACCCCGTTTGCAACATGGCTCACTGACCACAAAACAGAAAGCACTAATAAGGAAAAAAACTAAAGTCCAACCCCCACCTGCCAAGCTCCCTGCTGGCACCCATCCACAAAGTCCAGAGACCAGAGTCCAGGCTCCGATGAGCCCTCCACAGAATGCCAACTGTCTTATGTAATTGGTACTGGAGGCGGTGCCCTGTCTCTCCACAGCCACAGCCGGTGCCATCTGTTGACCCCTCAATTTTCTTTTGAGGGACATAATGATAAAACCTCGGGGCATTTTGGATTTATAAAAACCTTACACCTATTGCGTAGACAATT